ATGTACAACCAATTTGGTGTACAATACTGAAAGAAAATAAATTGAAGGTCACACTGTAGCTCTAGGTAGATTATGAATTTCAAGTTGTTGAATTTTAGGGGATCAACATTAAGTCTGAATAAAACTATAGTTTCAATATTGTTTTCTAAAACACAAAATAATCTTTTTGACATTTCAGTAAGTCATGGATTAACAGTGTTTTCAAGTATTGTTGCTCTTTACATTCATTCTTGCATCTTATGGAAGTAACATTGTATTTCATTTTTGATAACACTCTGACTTGAAAGTTCTTGCATCACACGAGTTGGTACTGTACCTGTATGAAATAATGTTCATGCACAAGATATTATAACTTTAAGGGGTAGATATGAAGGTTAAATATGTAACATAATTCCAGCACAAATGGATAAATTTTTATTGTCAGTAACAGGGAATTACGAAGCAAGGAACTTTTAATTCAAAGTTAGTTACGTCGTTGAATATTATTTTCTTTTTCAGATACTTGTAAGCTTAGGATTTACTTGACTTGCTCTGCTGATATGCAGTCATTTGTAATTGCTACTTTATTTTAAATATGGTGGATGGTGTTGGGAGTGTGGGGGTGGGACCTGTGATGGAGTGCAGGGCATGATGGTCTGCTGATCAGAGTGCCGTGCTGGACTCCAGATTGAGCAGTCCAGGTTTGTGTGCTGGTCTGGCCCATTGCATTGATTTCTTGGGTGATTCTTTAATCCCCTAGTGCTTCTTTCCTCCCTGGTGTCTAAAATTACAAATTATCTTAAAGCTGCAGCACCCGGACAAATGTGTGACAAGTTAACATACACTGTAGCCTAGTTGTTAATTTATGTCACTAACAATAAGTGAGATAAGCTCTGGTGGTGACTGGGCCACTTGATCCAATCAAGACTTTGCCTTTTTAGACCCCATTCTAGACTATGCCCAGCCCCTCTTTGGCTTAGTCTGTTGCATGATGCAAAAAAAAAAAAAAAAAGTGAGAGAAAAATGGCTGCTTGTCATCCCCAGATTTTGTTCARCCATTTTTCTCTTGACTTTTTTGCTTGTCATGTCATGCTCAAGCGACAAACTCAGCCAAAGAGGGGTTCCTCATAATCAACCCCATTCAAACATTGTCTTGCTTAACAAAAAGGTTCAAGGTGAAAATAACCATGATTTTGTTTTTGTATAATTTGTTATTTTATAGAGTCCTGATCAGAGTAACCATCGTGCAGGAAACGCTCATCAAACAAGTACCTTTGGTAGTGGATACCTGAGGTAAAACCAAATCTGCCCTGGGATATTATTCATCACAGTCAACCAAAGATATTTA